TTAGAAAAGCACAACAAGAGCACTATACTTTCCATAATTTTGATTTTAAAATTCAAGCATTATTTCTGCAATATGTTACCACCTTAGAAAGAGAGCGGGTATGATTGTGGAGAAATAAAAGATTGATGGTCTACAAAGTGCACAAGTAATTTTGAAAATAGACAATTCTTTTTTATTCATGAAAAATAGAAATAATTAACTTATTTAGCTCTTGTTTGAGCTCCAGCTTTATTCAAAATTTATTTTTTCAAAGCAAATTTGAACCACACATTCTCTCATAAATAATTTTACACATAAATTCAAAATTTCTATATATTTTTTAACCATATATTCTCCTATAACTTCTTTTTAAGCCAAAAATGCTCTGTTTATCTCAAATTACTCTCTTCAAAAATAGATATTGTATAACTTTATATTGATATAAAAGAATATTTTCAAAAAATTCTTTATTTTTAAAGAGCATATTCTATCATTTAAGAGCATATATAAATTTAGATAATTAAAATTTTAAAATACTCCAACAAACTCTTTATATTTAATACTTAATTTTACTATTCTCAAAATTTTTTTTAAATTATTTTTCTCTATAATAAGCCTTCTTTTTTTTATCTTCTTATCAACCACACATTCTCCAATAAAATAATATTATACGTAAACTTAAAAAATTTTCCTTTCTTTTTAGTTACACATTTTTAAAAAATTTATTATTTTTTCATTATAATTTGAAAAAATGGAGCCCAAACAAGGGTTAAATTAAAATATTAATTTTAAAAAACTGTTAAAAGTATGATTTTAAGGATTGACTCTTTTAAAAATAAAATGCTCTCTATAAAGTGTATTAAAATGCTTTAGTTCCAGCCAAAATGACATCCAAACCCTAAAATTCCATTTTAATTAAAGAGTTGACATTGCACCGCCACCTATAAACCACTCAAATATATCTAAGACTAGACCCATCGATGGAACATACAAAAAATTAAATTAAATTAAAGTTTGAATAAGGTTGATTAAACAAAAATTAGCCAA